AATGGATGGATAGATAAATAATAAGATCAAGATTAGAGAATCCTCCACATCCTTTCAACTTGTCTGGCCCCCATATTCCCCTCGTGTCCTCCAGGGTCCCCAAGGTTCCTCCAGCTTTCTTATGTGCAGGAGGAGGGTGAGATTTCCAGCCATACTGGCACTTCCCAAAGTGAGTTCCTGAGCCCTCTAAACTCATGAGATGCTCTTTGAAAAGATCCCTGAAAAGTACATCTCCATCAGACACGCCTGGCTGCTGGGTAGCCAGAGCCACCGCCCTTCAGCCACGCATAGCGACGGATCCGAGAAGCCCTGCAGCGAGGAAACCCAGCGGATGCTCATGCTGGTGTTTTCCCAAATTTATTTGACCACGAATGCCCTTTTCTGCCCAATATCAATTTAGCATCTTCCTGGAAAAACACTGATGTCAAGGTCATTTTTAGCTCACAGTTTCCACCTTATAGAAAAGACAGAAGGTTTTCTAAAGATCACTATCCCTGCATTTGAGAAGCCCAGGTTCTCTAGTGCGGTCATGCTGGCCCAGAGGAGAGCGGCACCCTGCCATGTGCTCTCAGTCCTGCTCTCTGGGACCGGGCGGGTTGGAGCGTGAAGGCCCCTCTGGGACACCCAGCAAGGATGGGCCCAGCTCCCTTCCACCCACCGCAGCAGCCTTGGCTCTCACAGACCACATGCAACGCCCAGACGTTGTCATGACAGAAGACGGCACCTTCCAGAGCCTTCTAGAAAAAGGAGTTGCTGAAAGGAAGCCTCTAGGGGTGAGGCAAGCCCCACCTCGGGCAGGGAGAGGCGTCTCAGGCTCCGGAGTCCCCTGGCACCTGCAGAGGAGGCCCTGGGAGTACCGGGCCCCATCAGCAGGGTAGCACCGCTTGCAAATCATCCCCTCCATCTCTCTGTAAACGTTCCAGCAAGTCTAACATTTGGCAACCGAAGTACATATCCCAGACGGCCGTGTGAACCTAGGACAAGTGCCAGCATTTGTCTTGAGGCCCCGTAGGGTTTGGAAAACAGGATGACTCAGCGAGTCAGTGGAGGAGAGTGACATTCATTAGGCACCTACGACAGAGTGCGTGTTGTGTCAGACGTTCTATCTGTACCATGAGATCTCAGTTCTGATAACAACCCCATTTTACAGATGGAGAAACTGAAGCTCACAGTGGGGAGGTAACATACCCAGGGACACAACAGAGCTGGGAGTCAAAGCCCCGCCTGGTTCTGCCTCCACAATCCTAGCAGTCCCCACTCCACGTGCTGTTCTGCTGGGATGTCTCCCTGGCTAACATCCCTCCGAGATCTTGATCCTTGCCTCAATCCCAGGGGCCCCTTCTCAATACTAACCCAGGTTCTCAGGGCCAGGGGTGTGAGGAAGGGAACCGGAGTGGAGACTAATGTAGTCTGGCCTCTAAGGGTCTGGCCCACATTGTGGAATCGTTATTTTAGCCCCCACCAATCTGATCATAGCTGGGGGGCAAGTAGGTAGATAAATCAGTTTTCTGTCTTTTGGGGGGTAAGATTTTGTTTATTTATTTATCTACCTATTTATTTATTTGTTTGTTGGTTTATTATTTTATTTATTTATTTGACAGAAAGAGACAGCAAGAGAAGGAACAGAAGCAGGGGGAGTAGGAGAGGGTTCCCTGCTGAGCAGGGAGCCTGAGGCAGGGCTCCATCCCAGGACCCTGAGATCATGACCTGAGCTAAAAGCAGACGCGCTTAACGACTGAGCCGCCCAGGCGCCCCGATAAATCAGTTTTCTGAGCCTGCCAAGCTGAAAGCCAGCCACCAGCCTGAGGTGACCCTGCTCTCAAGAAGACCCCTAGGAACCCAGCCTAAGCTGGCACCTGGGCTAAGCCCCTTATCTTTGGGTCATTGGTGCCCACTCCTGGCTATAGCCTCCTCCCAACATCCCCCGGCCCCCCACTCACTTGCAGGGTGCTGGCACTCAGCCAGGTGGTGGGGGCGGGGGGAGACATCACACAAACCTTTTGGAAACCTCTTCCCCTCCCCTCTCCAGATTCCCCAGAATTCCTGGGTCAGCAACATGGCTGCGTGCTGGGAGGTAGGGGAGAGTCTCAGCGATACCTCTCATGGGCAGGCCCCCTGCTCTGTCTGCACAGCTGCAGGGAAGGAAGGCCCCACCTGAGTTCCCAGTGCCCCGAAACAGCCACCCGGCTGTGGCCTTCCTTCTGCCCATCATGGGAGGGGCTCCTGGCGAGGGGGAGGAGCAGCATCCAGAGCCTGCCCTGCACCAGAGCTATCCTTCTGCTCACACCCTTCCTCAAACCATCTGAGAGGCAGGCCCCCTGCTCTCTGTCCTCAGTGCAGCCAGATCACAGGCAAGAGGGACTTGCCCTAGGCCACGTGGCCAGGCAGGGGTGGGCATCACTCGAGGGTCTGGCAAACTCCAGAGCTGGGGTCGTTTCTCCAAGTACAGTGCGGTAGTCAAGGTGTGGATTCTGGAGTGAGGCCGCTGGACTCAGGTTCTGGCACCTCCACCTGCTCAGGGGTCACCTGGGGCTAGTTACCCAAACTCTCTGTGCCTCAGTATCCTCATCTAAACAGTGTTGTCAGGGAATCCCGAAGTCTGAGCCCTGGGTGAGTTGCACGGCCTTGGGTGAGCAACAACCTGCTGGTGCCTCAGTTTACCCCGACTTAAAACGGAGACCTTGATACACATCCAGCACGGGCTGGTATGAGGATTAAGAAAAGACAACCGTGCATCTAGAGCTTTCCGGCAGGTGATGCCACGGGGCCTGCTGATTGTTTGGGGGTGTTATGGTCAAGGTGCTATCATCCAGACCAGCTCTGGAAGGACACACAAGAAAGGGTCTCAGAGGGCAAGGAGTGGGTGCTGGGGAGCCCTAACTTGTTCCTACATGTCATTTTATACTTTCAGAATTGTGTATTACATACACATGTTATTACTATTTCCGAAGCAGGTTGCATAACAGTCTTACAAAGGTGCTCCCTTGCCATGATGCACGGTCTCATGCTACCAGAGACCCCATCTGCTGGTCCTGGGTTTCCCACCCCTCCAGAGCCACACCTGGGCCTGGTGCAGTCCCTGTCTTTCAGCCCACTCTGTGTCTCCCAGCAAGGTCCCAGCACAACCTTAAGAGCCAGAGGCGTCTCCTTCTGAGCACAGGCGTGTGACCTGGGCCAGCCGAGTCTCCACCCCCCACCTGTCCCCTGGCTCACCTATAAGTGAGGTGACCACACTGCCCCACACTGCCTCCCCAGCTGTAGGACTAACACGAGGTACTAGAGGGGCGCCTGGCTGGCTCAGTCATTGGAGCATGGGACTTTTGATCCCAGGGTCATGAGTTCAAGTCCATGTTGGGCATAGAGCTTACCTAAAAAAATCAGGTATGGAGCACCTGGGTGGCTCAGTGGGTTGAAGGCCTCTGCCTTCGTCTCGGGTCATGATCCCGGGGTCCTGGGATCGAGCCCCGCGTCGGGCTCTCTGCTCCGGGGGGAGCCTGCTTCCTCCTCTCTCTCTGCCTGCCTCTCTGCCTGGTTGTGGTTTCTCTCTGTCAAATAAATTAAAAAATATTTTTTTAAAAATGAGGTATTAGACTGCTAGGTACAAAGCCCTACTACCTGTCCTCTCAAAGGGCAAAATGATGTTGAAGGGAAGCCGCCTCTTCCTCTGAGCTCATCTCCCCACAGAGCCTCTCCCACCCCTGCAGGTAGACGGCAAACCTCCCAAGGCAATGGGCCTCTAGGCCTTGGCATTTGCCAGTCTTCTCTGGGCAGACCCCTCCCTCATCTCCAGGAGGCTGGCTCCTTCACATCACTCACTTTCTCCCAAGTGTTGCCTCTTCACAGATGCCCTCCTAGACCACCTGTCTAAAGTGGTACCCACACCCCCCTCCAACTTATCCCTGTTTGTTTTCTGCATGGTACTTACCATTACCTGAAATTTTAAAGATTTTATTTATTTATTTGACAGAGAGAGAGAGAAAAAACACAAGCAGGGGAGCAGCAGAGGGAGAGGGAGAAGCAGGCTCCCCAGCTGAGCAGGGAGCCTGATGCAGGGCTCGATCCCAGGACCCTGTGATCATGACCTGAGCCGAAGGAAGATGTTTAATCACCGAGCCACCCAAGCGGCCCTGAAGTTGTGTTTTCTTAAATGAACTCTTTTAGAGGGAATTTTAGATTCACAGAAAAATTGCAAAGACAGTACAGAGGGTTCCCGTCTACACATCACCCAGTCTTTCTCATGTCACCGCGTTACCTAACCTGACCACTGTACAGCTGTCAGAACTAAGACACTAACCCAGAACATCACCATTAACTAAACTGCAGACTTCGTTCCAGTGAAATTGTACTTCTCCTTTATTTATTTACTAGTTTTCAACTGCCGCCCCCCCCGGAAGGAAAACTCTGAGAAGCAGGGAGGTGGCCGTACATAACTCACCACCAAGCCCCTTAGACCTGGCAATAAACAGTGATCGGTAAAGGGAGGGCCTATGATTACTGAGGACTCCCTCTGCCATGCACTGTTCCGAGTGTACTAAACGTTATAATCATTTAATCCTCAGGACAGCCCACGAGGTATCTACTAATTATGGGGAAACTGAGGCACGGCACAGTTTGGTGGCAGGCCGAGGCTGCACAGGTCATTAGCACCTGAGAGGATGGACTCTGGGGCTGCCCTCCGTACCAGAATGAACGCAAGTCCTTCTGTGTCCTCAGTCCACATCAGAGCAGGGGGCCAGCGCCCTTCTGTGGGCAGCACACTGAGGCCCCAGGGCAGCTGATTTGCCTGAAGCCCCAGGATGGACTGGGGCACAGGGCAGGGATGGAACCTGAGCCTGCTGCCTCCAGCTGGCTGCCCTGGACTCCCCCAGCTCCACTCCCAGGGCCACCATCGACGGGCTCCACCCTGCTGCAGGTAAACAGGCGTCTGGTTCGTGGGCTCTCTCCTGCACCCCCCGACTTCCCAGAGGGGCACTGAGATCCCCCATCACCTCCCTTTGCCCATAGCCTTAGCCACGGCCTCTAGGATCTGACCCCTGGAGAGGCGGGGGCGGAGGACGGGCCCTCTCCATCCTAGAGGAGGCCGCCTTCTCAGGGGGCTAGCTGGGCTCTGGGGCAGGGAGGGAAAGGAAGAAATGGTCATCCCTGCCTGGATGGGGGTGTGGGGAGGAGTGGAGCAACAGGGAAGGTTATTGGGCTTTTCCCAACACCCTGGGACCAGCCGGAGAGGGGTCTGGGCGCCTCCCAAAGGGAAAAGCCACTCTGGAGCCCTTGGACGGGACCAAGGCCGGCCGCCACCATCCAGCCTGGGTTCCGCCCAGCGCCAGCCTGGCGCAGACTCCAAGCCCTAATAATGTTTGCTGGATGCTTTGAATACAAGCGTCAGTGCCCAGAATCTCCTTGAGGTTTCAGCCAGGCGTGCCCGCCCCATCCCCCCTTCTGGGGAGCAGCATAAGTATGGGGGGGGGGCGTGTGACAGGGGACACCATGAGGTGGTGGCAGCCTCCGTGAGAGAGGCAGGCTGCTCCACCCAGAGCTGGGGGTAGGGGCGCCTTGTGCGCGGCTAATTAAACAGTGACTGTGATGAATCGGGGAGAGGCTGCTGCTTGCTAATTAAAGGTGCGGGCGGCTTGCCTGGCAAGGGGGGAAGGCAGGAGCAGCTCTGGAACCATGTCAAGAGGCCAGGCCGGCAAGGACAGCACCAGTTCTGGGCATCCCTTCTATCCTCGGGCCCTCCCAGCAGGGCCCCATGGCCCCCTCCCCACTTCCCTATCTCTCCTACCCACCTTGCCGAGCCTGGGGCCTCAGACTTCCCCCTCCCCACCAACCCAAATTGTGCTCCTGATAAGGGCCCAGGCGTTGGGGAGGAGGAGCCTGCTGGTGCCCAAGGTCTGGGCTGGTGAGAGAGCATCCTTCTGAACCTCTGAGGTTCACTTCCTTTTGCCCCACTCCCAAGAACCCTGAGTTGGGCGAATGAACTCCATCAAGATGGGAGGTGGGCTGGTGTGAACGAGGCCCCACGATGACTTCTGGAATGACAGATTCTGGGCCTCACCCAGTTTCCCTGTTGTAACACACCTGACATTAGCTGGGGTCCTGCTCTAACCCCCATGCCCCGCCGGTGTGGGAGAGAGACAAAGACGGAGGTGGAGAGACTATGTTCCTTTCTGGTCTCAGCACACAAATCTAGAAAAGGAAGATGGGAAGCAAGGATGTCTGGTCCTCAGAGTTCCTAGATAGTAGACAATAAGAGCCCCGACTGCCTGCCCCTGCCGGGCATCTGGTCAGGGCAGGGCGTGGATCGGTGGCTAAGAGCACCCGAGCCCTGGGGCCAGAGCTCCCAGTCCCAGCCCCACCACTTGCCAGCTGTGTGGCCTTGGGCACAGTAGCTAATTGCTCTGGAGCCTTGGGCTCCCCGTCTGCAAAGCTGAGCATGGGCGACGCTGCTACTCAAAGGGTCGCTGAGGGGACCAAGAGAGAGAATCCAGGTGAGGCACTTAGCACAATGTCTGGTCCACAGAACAGGCCCCGAAATGCCAGCCATTATTATATAAAAACTTGGGGGACTCCAGTAGGTGTGGCCCAGTGCCCACCTCTTCCAGGTGACCTCCTTACTGACAGCACAGCTGAGTCCTCTCAGAACAATTCTATCAGACACAGCAAGAGCATGTCACCCTTCCCACCAGGGCTCTCTGACCCCTATAACCTTCTGAGGAAAGTAGAAGAGTCGAGAAGTAAAAACAATGGGTGCTCAGAAAGCTAAGTGACCCGCCCCCCAAGTCAAACAGCTCATCGAGGGCCAGAGACGGCCCTGGTCCCTTGAGTGGGAGGAGAAGATGGGCTCAGGGTTCCCATGGCAACATCTGTTGAGCTTCTAGTGGATGCCAAGTCCTGAACCAGCCACAGGGACCTAGGAGAACTGGACACTCACTCTTGCCTTCAAGAGGACCCAGTCTGGAAGGAGGGAAAACACACCAATAAGGGGAATGCAAGGCAAAGGTGGCAGGCATCCAAGCGGGAGCTCCAGTGCCCTCCATGCAAGGGCCTGAGAGCCACTGCTTTGACAGGGAGCTCCATTTGAAAGCTAAGGTTGCTTTCTGTTGGGAGGGTAACGTCAGCATTGGGGGAGCCTGGAGAGGTCTGATAGGGCCCCTCTGGTGCTCCCAGGAGAAGCCTTCACAAAGGCATAGATACTCAGCTCTGGGAAGTGCCTATGTTACCTGCTTCTGAGGTTTGGGGTCTGTCACTTGAGGTATCTGGGAGTCCCAGATGATGTGGTTTCAGATACTACACTGTCCAGGACCCACAGCAAGAATCCATCCATGTCCTAAAGGGGGCCTCTCTACTGCCATGCAATGCAGTAGGGAAAGGATGCAGTGCCTATAAGGGGCCCAGGGACAGTAGAAACCTTTCCAGGCTGAGAAACTCAAGGCCATTGACCCTGATGTTGGACACCTGGACCTTAGGCAGCCAACCCAAAGCAGGCAAGAATGAGCGCAAGGTCACTGGCCTTGGGGGTGATGTCTCCATCTTCCCTCCTCAGAGATCAGGACTCAGCCAGAGGAATGGGGCAAAGGGCCCCAGGCAGGTCTAGCCACAAGGAAACCCCAGCAAGCAAAGCTAGCAGTTCCTTAAAAACACAACCAGCCTCAGCCTCCCCAGGGCTCCCTGCGCCCTAGCTGGGCCAAATGCTGGTCTGCTGCGCCCTCTGGTGGCCACATGGGGCAGTGGCAGACGCAGCGGCAGGTTTAAGGGTGGGTGGTCAGACTTGGACAGGTCAGAGTGGACCACCTCAACCACTGCACAGATAGGAAAACCAAGGCCTGGGGCCTGTGGGGGAGGGAGTAACTTGCCCAAGGTCATGCGAGTAACTTGCCCAAGTCAGTAGCCAAGCCCAGAACAAAACCCAGACCTCCTTCACCAGTGGCTGCTTCACTAGTGGCTGCTTTTGCTGGGTCTCCCCTTCCCATCAGGGGAGGGAAGACTGAGGGTTCAGGAGGCTCACTCCTCAGTGACCATGGACAACTGGATGGTAGGCAGCTGAGCCTATGATAGGGTACACAGCACTTCCCCTATCTGACTTTGGGCTCTTCACCTCCAAAACCTGGAGCTACTGGCAAGGGCCATGGGGACTGGGGGGCCCTCTCATACACTGCTAATAGTAAAGCTATAAGCAGCCAACTTTTCAGGAAATCCTAAAATGAGCCTTACAGTGAGTACTGGGTATCATACTAACTGTGAAAGACTGGGTGCTTTCCTGAGATCAGGAACCAGAAAATGATGTCCACTCTTGCCACTTTTTTTTTTAAATATGTTATTTATTTATTTGACAGAGAGAGACACAGCGAGAGAGGGAACACAAGCAGGGGGACTAGGAGAGGGAAAGAAGGCTTCTTGCTGAGCGGGAAGCCTGATGTGGGGGCCCGATCCCAGGACTCTGGGATCATGACCTGAGCCGAAGGCAGATACCCAAGGACTGAGCCACCAGGTGCCCCCACTCTTGCCCATTTCTATTCAATATTGTACTGGAAGTTCCAGCCAGGGCACTCAGACAAGGGAAAATAAAAGCATCCAGATTGCAAAGGAAGAAGCAAAACTATAGTTTCACATGGCATGATCTTGTAAATAGAAAATCCTAAAGAATCTACACATAAAAAGTTAGAACTAATAAATGAGTTCAGCAAGGATGCAGGATACAAGATGAATATACAAAAGTCAATTGTTTCTCTGTGCACTTGGCAATGAACACTTCAAAAATGCAATTAAGAAACTAATTTCATTTACACCTCAAAGAGGATAAAACACAAATAATTTAACAAAAGAAGTATAAAATTTATACTCTAAAAATTACAAAATATTGTTGAAAGAAATTAAAGAAGACCTAAATACATGGAAAAACATCTCATGTTCATGGATCTGAAGACCCAGAACTGTTAAGATAGCAAGACTCCCAAAATCAATCTTCAGATTCAACCCCATCCCCCTCAAAATTCCAACTTGCTTCTTTGCAGAAATTGACAAGCTGATCTTAAAATTCTTACGGAAATTCAAGTGATCCCAAATACCCAAAACAATACTGAGAAAAAGAAGAACATTGTTGGAGGACCCTGAGGAAGTTTTCTACAAAGTTACAGTAATTAAAACAGTGTGGTACTGGCACAGAGATAGATGCATAGATTAATGGAATGGAATCAGAGTCCAAAAATAAACCCTCACACTTACAGATAATTGATCTTTAACAAGAGTGCCCAGACAATTCAGTGGGGAAAAGACAGGCTTTCCAACAAACGGTGCTGGGGTAATTAGATACCCAAATGCAAAAAAGAGTCTGGGCATCTTCCTTACACCCCACACAAAAATTAACTCGAAACTGATCTTTGACTCAAATATAAGCATTAAAACTATAAAACCCTTAAAACAAAGCATAGGCCTAAATCTTCATGACCTAGGATCAGCTAATAAGAAGACACAAAAGCATAGAAAAGAAAAAAAAAACAGGTAAATTGGACATCATCAAAATAACAAACTTCTGGGCTACAAAGGACATTGTTAAGGAAGTGAAAAGACAGTGTGCCTGGCTGACTCAGTTGGTAGAGCATGTGACTCTTAATCTCAGCGTTGTCAGTTTGAGTCCCAATTGGGTATAGAGAGTACTTAAAATAAGATCTTTTTAGAAAGAAAGAAAGGAAGGAAGGAAGGGAGGGAGGGAAGGAAGAAAGAAGGAAGGAAGGAAGAAAGAAAGAAAGTGAAAGAACATAGAATGGGAGAAAATATTTGCAAACCATGTATCTGATAAGGAACTGTAACCAAAATACATAAATAATTCTTTCGGGGTGCCTGGGTGGCCCAGTTAAGCATCTGTCTTCAGCTCAGGTCATGATCCCAGGGTCCTGCTCCCCGCTCATCGGGAAGCCTGCTCCTCCCTCTCCCACTCCCCTTGCTTGTGTTCCCTCTCTTGCTGTGTCTCTCTCTCTGTCAAATAAATAAATTTAATAAATAAACAAATAAATAAATAATCTTTAAAAAAAAAATTCTTTCAATGATTAAAGAAAATTACCCAACTTAAAATGGGCAAATTGGAATAAACATTGATCCAAAGAAAATAATACAAATGGTCCATAAGCTCATGAAAAGATGCCAAAGATCACTAGCCATCAGGGAAATGCAGCAAAACCAGGAGATGCTACTTTGCACACACTAGGTTTGCTATCCTCAAAAAGACAGTGTTGGCAAGGATGTGGAGAAGTCAGAACTGTCCCACACTACTGGTAGGAAGGTAAATGCTGGAGCCGCCTTGAAAAACAGTCTGGGAGTTTCTCAAAAGATTAAATAGAATTACCATGTGACCCAGCAGTTCCATACCTGGGAGGTAGAGATCCAAGACAAATTAAAATATACATTTATCCCAAAATTTACATGAATGTTCACAGACGCATAGTTTGTAATAGCTAAGAAAGTAGAAACAACCCAAGTGCCCATCAACTGATGAATGGATAAATAAAATGTGGTCTATCCATACACAGAAATATTATTCAGCAACAAAAAGGAATTAAATACTGGGGTGCCTCGGTGGCTCAGTCATTTAAGCATCTGTCTTCAGCTCAGGTCATGATCTCAGGGTCCTGGGATTGAGTCCCAAATCCTCTGGCTCCTTGCTCAGCGTAGAGTCTGCTTCTCCCTCGCCCCCAACAGGGGCTCGTGCTTTCTCTCACGATCTCTCTCTCTCTCAAATAAATAAAATAAAAAAACAGCCCAGAATTAAATACTGATACAATCTATGACATGGATAATATACCCTAAGTGAGAGAAGTCATTCAGAAAAGACCACACATTATATGATTTCATGGATATGAAAAGTCCATAATGGGCAAACCTCT